AAATTTTAGAGTCAAGTCTTGAGGGAGACATGTTTTTAGAAACTTTTCAGAATGGTTTTATTCACCAATTGGTTAGGAAACCTATTAGAAACAATGCTATTTTGGATTTATTGTTAACTTCTAATGCAGAAAAGGTTAACAGGTTGGAGAATGGGAAACATTTGGATACAAGAAATCATTGCTAAGTTAGATTTGATGTTTTGCTGCATATGGAGATAAGGAGTAATGAATGTTTCGTTAAAAAAGACATTTTTGAAGGGATGAGACAAGAATTATCTGCTGTCAATTGGGTAACTGAATTAATTGGAATTACTGTAAAAAAAATAATAATACAAATTAGTAAATGTTCCAGAGCTTGTCAGAGATGATACAAGAAGGTTATATTATGGGAGTAGAGCTTGTGAGAGATGATACAAGAAGGTTATATTATGGGAGTAGAGCTTGTGAGAGATGATACAAGAAGGTTATTTTATGGGAGTAGAGCTTGTGAGAGATGATACAAGAAGGTTATATTATGGGAGTAGAGCTTGTGAGAGATGATACAAGAAGGTTATATTATGGGAGTACAGCTTGTGAGAGATGATACAAGAAGGTTATATTATGGGAGTAGAGCTTGTGAGAGATGATACAAGAAGGTTATTTTATGGGAGTAGAGCTTGTGAGAGATGATACAAGAAGGTTATTTTATGGGAGTAGAGCTTGTGAGAGATGATACAAGAAGGTTATTTTCAGATGACTATGGGATGGCTGAGTTATTAAATTTTGCTTTTTCTTTAATGTTTACTAAGGAAAATGTAAGCAAGATTCCTCATCCTAAAGAATTACTAAATGGAAACAAGATTGAACAATATGATCATATTAGCCATCCGTGGTTTCGATACCCGTGGTGAGCAGACCACAGATAACCCATTGTGTAGCTTCGTGCTTAATTATAAACAAACAAACAATGATCACATTAATTCTAATATTTTTAACAAAAAATTGGAAAGTTTAAAAAAATGATAAAGCTCCTGAGCTAGATTATATTTCTCAAGTCCTTGAATAGTAGGCAGGTGCCAGAAGATTGGAATTGACTAATTTTACTCCATTTTTCAAAAATAATTCCATTAATTATAGGCATGTTAGTTGTTACATCAGTGAAAGTTTTTGAAAGATTGATAAAAGATGGTTTGCAAAGTAATTTAACAAGTTGATTAGCCAGGGTAATTTCACTAGGGGAAAACTATCTCATTACCCTTTTGACATTTTTGATGAGGTTACTGCTTACTTAGATGATGGTACTGATGTGGATTTGGTGTATCTGGATTTTCAGAAAACATTTGAAAAATGTCCATAAAAGGCTTGCTAAAAGGGAGTTTGGCTCATTGCATAGAAAACTGGCTGGATGGAGCAAAGCAGCGGGTTGTTAAAGATGAGTAAAATCCTGATTCTGACGCATGAGAGTGCGTCAAACTCATACTTTAAAGTAGGCAATACATTTTTTAAAAACCTTAAAGGTTTAGCTATGGGAGATCCCCTGTCTCCTCTTTTATGCAAGTTATTTATGTTTAAATTCGAAATGAATACGTTTAATACTAAAATCATTAATAATATTCAACGTTAAACTGGTACACAATTGAAAACATTTTATTTAGGCCTATCTATGGCCTTCAAAATGTTGACGACTCTACATGTATAGGCCATAGATAGGCCTAAATAAAATGTTTTTAACTGTGTACCAGTTTAACGTTGAATATTATTTATGATTTTAACTTTATACATAAGTGCCAAAATACTATAATTACGTTTAATACTTTTGAAGTGAAACCTTTGGTGTGGTTAAGGTGTGTAGATGACACGTTTCTGGTGTGGCGGAGTGACATTGAGATATTAATGCAGTTTTAAAGACACTTCAATTTGATCAGTCCTACTATTAGATTTATACTGGTGATGGAAAAAAAGTCAGTTAAATTTCTTAGACATCACCGTTATATGGGATAATGGGTGTCTCTCAACGTCTGTTTTCTGGGCTTTACCACCACACAATAAATCTTGTCACCCAGGAAACAAAAAATATCCAATTTTTCCCCATTTGTATTTAGAGTTTTAAAAACCTGCACTTACGATTGTGATTTGAGATAAAATTAATTTTCTTGAAACATGTAGCTAGAGATAGAGGATATAATCCCGAAATTATTGATAGATTGTGCAAAAAACATTAGAATAAATTAAATATGTCATCATATACAAAGTTTGTTTGTTTTTGAATTTCGCGCAAAGCTACACGAGGGCCATCTGCGCTAGCCGCCCCTAATTTAGCAGTGTAAGACTAGAGGGAAGGCAGCTAGTCATCACTACCCACCACCAACTCTTGGGCTACTCTTTTACCAACGAATAGTGGGATTGACCGTCACATTATAATGCCCCCACGGCTGAAAGGGCGAGCATGTTTGGTGTGACGGGGATTCGAACTCGCGACCCTCAGATTACGAGTCGAGTGCCCTAACCACCTGGCCATGCCGGGCCAAATATATACAAAGTTAAAGGATAAAGTTGATAACATGACGGTTTGTCTACCATACGTTCAAGGTTTATAAACAAGAATGTAGTGTAACATTCTCTCCACGTTGTAAACTAAATCATTTTCTCGTGAGTATAAAAGATAGTGTAGAAAAGCTGATAAATGTGGGATTTACAAAATTCCTTGAGTCTGTGATCGAATTAATCGATCTTTGTAAGACGATTTTACTAGTCTCTGCTACAATTGTTCCTCCATCGTCCAATCTCCTCAATCTAATGGGATTGACTACCTCTACTGCCAGAAACTGGCATTTACAATGTAACAAGCTTCTGGGAAAAACTCCAAACCAATATTAGACCACACGTCTTGACAAACGTTCCACAGACGAACGTCCGCTTTCAAGACCAGCTTTAAGTAGACCAAAGGCATAAACATCCATTGGAATTATACTGTGGGGCTTGACAGGCATGTAGTCGAATGGGATTACTGTGATAAAGTATAAAGAATACTGTGATTACTCTTTCTTCCAACATCTTTCTCGTAAAATCACCTGTGTGACTGGTAGCTTGTGTGTTTTCAAAAACCTCAAATCGCTCTTTATCAACTTAGCGCAGATAGCCCGTTAATTAATTTGTTCAAGATACCAGTGAATATATCCAGTTTTATTGCAACCGAAACTGGATTGACAATATGGTTTCGGTGTACTTTCCAAGCTAAAACACTGCTTTAAACGTTTTCTGCTATCATGTTCTTTGACAATGGCACTGTTAACAATCTCGCTTTGTGATTTTCTCTAGGAAGTTTATATTACACACATATATGCACATTCAGCTAAGTCTGTCCTTGGCGGCGCTGTGCTGTTAAAAGGTTGATATTTGACAATGAACCAAATATATATATATATATGCAATATTACATTTACTAAAGAAAAAATCTGCAAAATAATCTGTGATCTGGGTGTGAAATATACTGTCTATACGTCATGTATATTAACTTAGCAAATATATATAATGCCAAGTGTTATAATCTGTGATCTGGGTGTGAAAGATACTGTCTATACGTCATGTTTAGTAATTTAGCAAACATATAATGCCAAGTGTAATAATCTGTGACCTGGGTGTGAAATATACTGTCTATACGTCATGTTTAGTAACTTAGCAAACATATAATGCCAAGTGTAATAACCTGTGATCTGGGTGTGAAATATACTGTCTATACGACATGTTTAGTAACTTAGCAAACATATAATGCCAAGTGTTATAATCTGTGATCTGGGTGTGAAAGATACTGTCTATACGTCATGTTTAGTAACTTAGCAAACATATAATGCCAAGTGTTTTTCAGATTAGCTTTACCTACATTGGACGTGATTCTGTAGAAATTGAATCAACTGTTATATCACTTATGAATTTCTTATTATACATACATATATATACATTTATTTTAATACTGTAAGTTATGCCATGTGATCATATCGTTCTTTGGAACACTCTAGCTATATCAAAAGGCACTTGAAAAAAGAACTGAAAGACACATGACCAATCCGCGCCCATTCTCCTTACTCAAAAATATCCAAATGATATTTTGTAATATATTTTATTACTTTTATTATATAGAAATTAGGTGTTTTTTCCTTTTAGTGTTTATGTGAAATGATAATAATAGGAGTCAGTTCTTGTTTAATCAGGTAAAGCTAACCGTACCATATTCATGTTAATAATTTGCATTGACATGGCACTTCTCGTGCAAAATACGCTGAAAATATCGAGCATACACAGAAAGCGTCTTTCATGGATAAAAATGAGAATTTTAGGGAAAGTGAATTATCTGGTGATTAGTAATCAAACTTTTTCTAAAAATACTATTGATTTTCTACAGTTTAAAAGCACTATAAGATTGACTAATCTTATAATATTTGATATAATAAAATTTTATCGGTTAAATAGGCCCACAGCGGTACTGGAAGTGGTAAATATTTATATATCTATCGAACATTACAGTGCATTATAGACTTCCACGAATCGGCTAATGGATGATGCATGTACTAAAATTACTTTAAAAAATATACTTAGTATTATATAAGCCATAATTATAAAATATACGAAGGTATTCTTTTGAATTTTAAAGAGTAAATTACATTAGATTAATGTGATTCTTACAAATTTGGCTACTTCAGTAGTGGTTGGGGGGACATTAGATTAATGCAATTCTTACAAATCTGGCTACTTCAGTAGTGGTTGGGGGTACATTAGATTAATATGATTCTTACAAATCTGGCTACTTCAGTAGTGGTTGGGGGGTACATTAGATTAATATGATTCTTACAAATCTGGCTACTTCAGTAGTGGTTGGGGGGTACATTAGATTAATATGATTCTTACAAATCTGGCTACTTCAGTAGTGGTTGGGGGGTACATTAGATTAATATGATTCTTACAAATCTGGTTACTTTAGTAGTGGTTTGGAGGGGAGGAGTGTATTTTTTGTAAAGTGTACTTACCTACTATAGTTAAATATATTCCAACAACAATGTGAGTTGATGGTGGAAAATATGCATCCATTGCTAGGAATACGTCTCCGGTAGATATTTCAAACGTTTCGTTCTTGGATTTGTTGAGATTTACGGAACCGAACTCGTTGCTTGTCATCTTACGCTTCTTCTGTGATAAAGCGCAACCGTGAAAGTCCAGTTCAACCATATGAAAGTCACGTGCGTTAAGATGTCACTACTCGTACATTTCCAACGACGCTTTCGAGTTCTTGTGAACATTCTGAATTTTTGGAAGGTTTCTATCTAACTATCTATCTATTTATCATGTATGTGTGAATATAAATCAGTAATAAAACATTGCACAAAGATAAAATATAATAACAATTAAATTTATACCAACTGCGCAGTCAACTACAAAAACGTAACCATAAAGCTGCGGTATTAACGCGCGTAAATTGTTGGAGATATCCTGTTTTATCAACATATTGCCTCCTAGTGGCACAGCGGCATGTCTGCAGACTTACAACGCTAGAAACCGGGTTTCGATACCCGTGATGGGCAGAGTACAGATAATCTCTTGTGTAGCTGTGTGCTTAACTTAAAAAAAAATGAACATCTGTCAAGTGTAGTTGAGAAACCCAGATTAATGTCATAATATGGTATACATGTATAAAGATTAAAATACTCCTGACGATCATACAGTATTGTAATAAGTACTTCAAATGACCCACGAATCTTCTGTCTGAAATGTTCATTGTTTACAATGTGGTACTTAGTGCCATTAACCTACCTCTCTGAAACGTATTCCCTTTTCAATTTCTCTAGAGTCCAGATCTCAACTTCTTTGAAAGAGTTGGAAAAGGGAACCTATATTCTGAAATCTGTACGTTACACAACGATTTAGAGAACTCTGCACCTAATGGTAGTCAGTTTGGTTGTTTTAGAGCAAAGCTATATTATGCTATCTAATGTGTTTACCGTGGGGGAATCGATCTCCGGATTTTAGCGTTGTAAATCCGTAGACTTTTTGTTGTCCCACCAACGGACGGTGCTCTCAGTACTGGATATATTTTAAATAAAGTTTCAATTTCGTTTTCCACTCATTTGCAACCTATTTTTTCCAGTATATTCAGCTTTTACTGTATTATTATCGTCATTGTCACTGTGAATAAAGTTTGTTTAGCTTACAGAATGTCAAGTATAATCACTTGCTTCAGTTAAGCTTAATTGAAGGTTTTATATAACCATGTACAAATACAACAATAACATGTTAACCAGCTAACCATGTTGTCGAAATCAGAAGCACTACAAAAATATCTTAATACATTACGAAACTGACAGTGTCATTGTTATTTCATTTATGGATGCATGCATTGTAATTGTGGATATTCAGTAAAACCAATTAACAAATGTGTTATAAAATAATCTATAACCTTTTATAATTTCTAAACAATTAAATCTGTAAAATGTAAGTCTTTCCAACAGTAGAGAGGTATTTAGCCAGAAATGTTTGTTTTAGAACAAAGCTACATTGAGCTATCTACTGTGTTTACCGTGAGGGAATCGAACCCTGGATTTTACAATTATAATTCCGTAAATTAACCGCTGTCCTATCGGAGCACACCTAGAAAGAAAAACACTGATCACAAAGTACTGCAAGTTGTAAAATTTTTAATATCCGTAGAAACTACACTATTAAGGAAGAGCTAAATCGAAATTATATATGTGTATGCGTGTGTGTGTCTTTACATATACATATACAAACACTCATACGGTATGGGAAATAACTGTTGAAATGGTGAGGAAAAAAAGTTAAGTTTAGTTTTGTTTGTTTGTTTTGAATTTCGCGCAAAGCTAAAACGAGGGCTATCTGCGCTAGCCGTCCCTAATTTAGCAGTGGGAAGGCAGCTAGTCATCACTCTTGGGCTAATCTTTCACCAACGAATAGTGAGATTGACCGTCACGTTATAACGCCCCCACGGCTAAAAGGGCGAGCATGTTTAGTGTGACGGGGATTCGAACCCGCGCCCTTCAGATTGCGAGTCGAGCGCCCTAACCACTTGGCCAGGTATAAGGGACAGTGGAAAGATGGAAAATCGTACAAAGTTAAAGAAATGATAATTCTTTATTTATTCCAAAGGAGTTAATAGTGCCTATTAGTGCCCTAGAGACCTAGAGAAGATTATTGGAGGGAGGAGAGCTATCCCCTAGGTTAGTGTTAAGCTCCTAAAGCGTAAACTGGTAGTAGAGGTAATATTAAAATAATCTTAATTTATTTTGGGTTCTTGGGTTTAAAATAAAAAATTATAATAAAAACGGGACATACAATATTTAATAGTGATAAATTACAAAGTAAAAGCGATCGTTGTTGACCGGTTGTCTCTTTGCGGTTGGTGGTTCCAAATTAGGGATAGCGCAGACTGCTCATTGATAAATGTGTTGTGATGGTCTCTTAGTTCGGGAGCCATTAGGGCAAGTCTGGGATGTACGAGTCCTAAAATTACCAGAAATTTCAACTGATGAGGTCTGCTCTGGACCTGCTCTTACAAAATGTAACATATCGAGCAACAAAGTTTAGCCTATCTTGCGAAATATTGCGCATAATAATTCATCCCATGTTAATATAAAACTCAAAACTATATGTTCATTACTGTTTAAAATCCAAAGATTACTGAATCCGATAGACTGTTTTTCGAGCAAAGCTTTCGGCTATGTCCATCACCGGGAATAGAACCCCTGGTTTTAGCGTTGTAAGTCAGGTAATTCGGGGGACACTTAAACTGGTTTAACATTCATTTTGTACCTACAATAACCATACCTAACAATTACTTATCCATTATTATGTAAAAATATGTAAGATTGCAGTTAAATACCACCATGGGTGTTCACCCATGTACAGCATTTCAAACTTCAGCAAGTTTTTTGTTTTTTTATTTATTTTTAGTCTAAATTCGTAAGCATTTGTTTTACTGAACATAAAGAAAATAATCTATTTATATCATTTTAAATATTAATTAGAGTGTACATGTATACTTCTCCCAAGTAAAAAATAAAGGTAATATCCTTAACATCGTTAAATAACTATTCCATAGATTATCTACCATTAACTCCTGATCTTCTTCCAGGTCTTCTGCAGCGCACATGCAGGAGAAAACACATAACACGTTGTTTCTTACACATTTCAAAGGCAACATCCTTATTATTATTATTTTTTTACACCCACAAAATGGATTTTGTTCCAGTAACAGTGACTTTGTCATAGGTAATGGTGTAAGGGTTCCATCTGTTAATTTTTACCAAAATCCATCAGGTCTGAAAGATAAGGATCATTCGTATGAGTAATTTTGCTCGCTTATGTTTGGTAAATGACACACAATATATGCAAATAAAAATGATCGGTGGGAGGCAAGCTTCTAAAGTCTGCTCTTGTAAATATTGTTTCAAAAAGATGGACCCTCATTTTGTCTAGACTGTCAAACTTCTCTCTGCTATAGAGCCTTACAGTGCCAGACACTTCTTCATCTGCATGATATGGTGTCTCATCAAAGCAAATACAATGAAGTCGCTGCAGGAGGTAAAAACAAGTTTTAAAACTTGTTTATTGTCGTTTCTTAAATGATAACTACCTGTGCCACAGCCGATAAAAACGTGGGAACTAAACAGAAGGCTTGCTATGAAGATTCAAAAATGTTATATTCATAAATTAATTTGTTTAAAATATTAAGAGTTGGTATTTAGCTGTCATTCTTCTGAACCCATTCTTCTTGTAGGTCGGGGATTTTGATGACTAGTAAACGCAGGGGAGGATTATGTTTGTATCAGATACCTGAACAAATGCTCACTCGTAACACATTTCTGAAACAGCTTGATTGATGTGAGTGAAAATCCTCATGACTGCTTCCTTATGATTTATACAGTTCACATTTGGAAGAAATCTTAGAGTTTCTTTGTTAGTTTGCTCATGCCACCAAAGACAAGACAGAAACCAAAGAGAAGGTTGATGTGATCAAAAATCCAAGATTTGTAGATTATCCTTACTTTTGGCATTGGAGCAAAACACCTTCCAATAAAACAATTTGAAAGTCGTCAACCGGAACCTATTCACGTGTTGTAGAACTCCAGATATTTTACAGCGAGGTTATGTTTGCGTCATAGTGATCACCAACCACATGTATACGATTGGAACCTGCTAGTCTCTTTTTGGTTATTTTGTACAGGTACTAAAACTGTAAGTCCAATAATGGAAGCATTCAAATTTTGATATAGCTGGGCAAAAGCTATTGCATCAATGACATAAACTTTTGATAAGGATAATTTTTGTAAAGAATATTTCCAGATTAGGAATGTCATTGTGAAGTAGTATCAAAAAATCACTTTTCTCGTCCTTCTGCATAACAAATTCATTCACAAATTTTCATATTATTCAAAAGAGGGCATGCTCCCCCATTCATGTTTAAATGCTTCAAGCTTATACTTCTCGTCTATATTCTGTGCAAAATAGAGAACTTATAAGATTACTCTAATCTGCATGTATATGTTTGACATTTTTAGTTCGGGAGAATAATGACATTATCTTTATATTCTCAATCATTTAACTAGCTGTTTCTTTGACTTTTTGGGTGCTTTGCACTGAATCTAGCACAACTTGTGAATCTGCTCTTTATCCTGTAACAATATTCATTAAGTGTGAAATATTTCGTGAATCCAGTAGACTTATATGTGTATATGTACCAGTACTTAACAGCGTCTGAATGGTACAGTTTTCATTCTTTATTTGTTTTAGTTGAGGTATCTTGGTGACGTTCCTGTGAATCCTGATGTAAATGGATTATTTCTTTCACCTTTAAACATACCATTAAACAGGGCTGTTTTAACTCCCCAACAGTAAGCTTGTTCTAAGGCTAGATTACTCCATATCTTATCAAATCTACCTATAGCTCTGTCAATGGTGTAAGTTCCATTTTGAAATTGTATATTTACTTCTAGTACTGATCGGGGAAGATTTTTTCATTTCACTGAAATAGACTGGAAGGTGATTTGCACATCTGTAGTAGTCTGAAGCAGTAATGTAAGGCAGTATTTATTCAACAGCACTGAGACGTTCTTACTAGCTTCCAGCTCTTTCAACAGTAACATATCTATGAAAAATGGTCTCCAATTCTTTGTACATCTTCCAAAATGTACTTGTTGCTCTTATGCTAAAATCGT